AAGTAGTAGCAGTAATAACTAAAGGCCAGAGATGAATTTGTTATTAGTCAGGATTAGTGAACTCCATTGTGATAAGTAGGGGGCAACTTATTTGCTAGTGCTGCAACGATACACCGATGCACCAGTGAATCGCAATATTTTTTGTCGCTATATGAATATCTATATTATGACAAGATATCGCGATATTATGATATTGTGATTGTGTCCTTTATTACTCCTTACCCAAGTCCAAGTCCTTTCACAGGGACCTGGGACCTGGGAAAGGGAAAAAAAAGTTCCATCTTTGCTTTGTATTGCTTTGTGTGCTTCGGTCACATATCTTTCAAGATGGCAGCACAAAGCCTGCGCAGTTCCAATTAGTTGTCAGCTGACACAGTTTTGTGCGCCCACAAGGCAATATTTGTCACAAAACTTGTCCAAGACAATTTAAAACATTGCTGGCATTGAACTTGAACCACCCCAGAGTCTAGCACACTAACCATTAAACCAACAAACCTCTCATAGTGTGACCCAGGCCTAAGCTTGAAGGGCTTCACTTTCGCTACTTCCAAAGAATGCCAAAGTCATAAATTTTTAGCCTGTGTACAACTGCCCCTCCCCTCCAAAAAAAATTTAGGAAGGAGCATCTGTGATTTACCATTGATAATCATGTTCAGGAATTTTTTTTGGAGGGGAGGGGTGGCTGTATACAGGCTATAAATTTTGGGAGAAATTGAAAAAAGACAGCACATGTGAATGTGATGTGCTATCATAACAAAGATTTTGTTTCATCATATTTCACTAACTGTTAGTAGAAGGAAATGTCTGCATTGAAAATATCAAACTTTAGGAGAGTGTAGAAAAAAAACCAAACCACATCTGGAAAATCACTGACACACTTTTTAGGGGTGATGTGTGAGAAAACATTTCTGATGTTAATCACGCCGCTCTGATAATTCACGTGCGGAAGTGAAGCAGTTTAAGTGAAGGAGTGTTTGTGGGTATTTCTTTTAATATCACTACGACAATAACTTTTTAGAAAATTTCAAAGATATGGTTGTACTCTATAAGTATTAAGCTTTCAGAAAATTTATAGGTTGATAGGGTTTTCTTTCAAAGCACCAGTGTACAGTAAGAGCACGATTTCCGAACACTGTCAATCCACCTACCATGATACCTTAACAAATGTAATGCAAGCAACATTGAAA